TTCAATATAATACAGAAGTTATATTGTGGAGTACCAATGTAACAACGAAATATAAATTTTTCCTTCTACAATGCAGGGTTTGAACTTAAAATTCAAACTTAAGTGTACAAATTGGAGGAGAAAATGTGAAAACTCAATCATTTTTCGATCCACATGTGAGAATATAGGTACGCGTGAATACAAATTTTAGGATTAATCTGTAGGAGTATACATCCATGTGTTTTATAACCATTTCTCTTTTTAATATAATATTTGCTTGAGGTTAGGATTAGGAAAGTCAAGAAGAATAAAGTGAACATTTCTTTGCCCAAACGCATAGTGATAAGGACTTGGAAACAATGTGATCCAAACAAACAACCAACCGAGAAAAGGCAAACAGAAAAAGACTTGAAAAACAAACAATTAATTTACAGCCATGTTTGTAAAATCTGTGCAATATATGACATATATGGCCTATTGCTCTCTTAGCTAGAAGTGAACCATTGCGGAATTTGTGGTCTGATGTAGGCTGGGAAACTAAGCAACAAATGCTTGGTAGGTTTTCTCTATGGCATTATAAAATTATCAATTTTCATCTTATCGCTATGTCATCAATCTTCAATCGTTGTGTCGTCTAAATTTAACGTTTAATCAGTTTATAATAATTGAAATTTTATTTATGAGAATTTTAGCCATTTTTATCAAGCCTCACGTAGAATTAAGGGTACTTTTGGAAAGGAAACTTCCTCATTAAGGTTGCGAAAAACCTTCTGGCGGGATTAGGGTGCATGCGCGGTAAAATTTTAGATTAAAATTCATTTTTTTTGGCATTTTTATTTTTATTTTGATCTAATGGTCCATATTTTTTAATTTTTCATATCCAATGATATAGAATAAAGATCCAACGGATGAAATTTAAATTCAACGTCAAAATAATAAAATAAAAATTTAAGACAGTCCACTTTAAAAAATTATTTTTCAATCCCACACCAGAACAAGGCGAATACTTTTGGAAATGTATATAACTGTAACGTAGAAATCTCCCTATTTGGATTGCACATATGCTCTCAATGCAAAGTACATAAATGTAATGTAACTTAAAGACTTATTTTACCATGTTGATTTGGCAGTTCTGTTAATTTTTGAAATATTTAGAAATGAATGGGTTGATTTGTGATTTTATGGATTTTTCTGAAGTGTCTATTATGTGTATAGTGATATACTAGAACTCTTGCCGCGGGAATGTCAGATAGGTTATAAAAACACTGCGTTAATGGATGCCCACTAAAGCCTCAGAATTTTAAAACCGTATGATACAAAAGATATATAACTTCTGTATTAATTGTTTTTACGGATTGGAGTATGCAATTTGTGTTTGAAAAACTTTGATAGCTTGTTTATTTTGTAAGCCTTAACATTCAAGATTTTGGATGCCAATGTTTAATTTCAATTTGATAGCTAGTTGAAAACATAGCATGTGAACTTGGTATTGCGATTTGATATTAGTAGGATGAAACTGATTTTGGCTTGTAAAGGGAAGGAAATTGTTGATCAAATTCTCTGAAATTCTCTAAGCCTAGGTAATTTTTTTTTTCCTCTCAAACTCTTGCAAATTCTATGGATTTAAATTCCCTGGAACTAATGATGGTTGTATGAGGAAATGAAATAAACCATTTTTCAACACAGTAATAACTGGAAATTTAGAAAATTAGTCAAAATTTGGATCATGAATAGACTTTTAACTAATTATTTTAACTTCTCATAATTCTAACCAAAACTTGACATGAAAATACTACAATGTCATTTCTTAACTAAAATAATTACAAAACTATATATTCTCCATGGACATTTATCAATAACTAGCCAAAAATTAGCTCTTAATTTCAAAAATGTGATTTTTTTATTAAAAAAAAAATCAATTCTATCCAAAATCCCACTTAAATAGTCAGAAATACCCTCAATTTATACGAATAACCAGTTGTTGATTAAAATATTCTTTGTACTATAAGTTGTGATGGACTATACCTGCGTATTCGCATATATATATATATATATATATATATATATATATATCACTAGAACAAAAGAAGAACTGAAATAAAAATTAAAAAAAAAAAAAAAAACTACGAAGCAATTTGCAAATAATGATTTGTAGGAGAAGTGGATATTGATTCAATCAGAACTACTACAACTGCTGCATAATTACAAAGGCAATTTGTTTCAAAACTACAGAAGCAATTATGTTAAGCTACGGAAGCAAAATATTTGATTTAATATTGCACAGATTATTTATACAATTAATTGACAATTCCCAAACCAAGATGAGAAGAATAAAAACACACAGAAAGAAAAATTGGCATTTCAAACAGTAGCAGTCACTGATGTTCCGGTTGAATATGGGACCACGCATTATATTGTCCGGATAATACATGTGTCAAAAGGTGATTATGTTGGAACTTTAAATAAATAAGAAATCAAGGTGACAATTTTATCACACTCTAATTTTTCTCCATCTGCATTTTGTCTGTCTTTGTCTTTTTGTACCTAGACCAATTGCCACAATTACAGAGACAGATACATATGGAACTCCAAACTGATAGCAAAGAACCAAAAATCAGTGTAACCACATTTAAGTACTATCTATTTCTCCAGCCTTCCTAAAAATCGCGAAACCAAAGAAGAAGAAGAAGAAAAAAAAAAAAAAAAGCAAATATTGACTGAAACATGGAAAGAAATTAAAAAGAAAAAAAAAATATAGATGAGGAAAAATAAAAATTAACCATCTACACTCATTGTTGTTTAGGGTTGCACAAGCTTCCACCAGTTGCCGATGCCTTCATTATTTCGCCACCACTTTTTAGGTTTTGATGTTAGAAATTCTTCATCTAAAAGGGTTTTGGTTTTTTAGTTTATTTGGTTTTAAAGTCTTAGGGTATTTGTGTCAACTTTAGTGGGATTTTAGATATATTTCAAAGCTTTTTAAAAATTGACATTTTTGAAATTAAAGGCTAATATTTGGCTATATTTGATAAATACTCATTGTCCATTGTGCAGTCTTTCTCTCTCAATTTTTCATACTTTGCTTTGCGCACGAGACCTTGAGTCCCGCGGGTTCCAAGTATGGATACTATATAAAGAATGTAATCTCTTTTCGATGGTGTGGATTTTTCATTTTCATTCTTGCTAAAATTTCCTTTGTTTTGGGTCTTTGATACTGCCGGCTGCTATGTTCTTGCTCTTCTTGTTCAACGCTTGGCAGGGAAGACTCAAAAGCTGCGACCATAAATTCAAATATCAGTACACAAACAATGCCGACTGAAAAAAAATGTAAATCAGTAACTAACTATGAAGGTTGGTCGCTGGTGTTTGCAGTCTCTTACATTGCATTGATTTTGAACCTTTACCTTTTCAGGTGGAAGAGATCCTAAATCATTTCAAATACACCTATCTCAGGAGAACGAGGTATCAAATTCCCCTTTTGCGTCAACAGCTGATCCACGGCATAGAAGCCGGTCAATAGTTTGTCACAAAGAGACCCACATCACAAGTGAGGTGAGTTTTAAGAGAAAGACGGGAGAGGAATTTGGTGTTGTAGTAGTTTCCAATTATTTTAGTTAATAAAGGGTATTGTAGTATTTTCATGTCAAATTTTGGTTAAAATTCTGTTCATATTCTAAAATTTGGCTAGTTTTCCAAATTTCCTATTAATTACCTAATTTTAAGTGATAATGAAATCCACTTGGCAAGCAATGAATGGGAAAGGAAAATTGGAGAAGGCATGAGGGGAAGGTAGCTAGCATTCCTCACTTGGAAATATGATTCATATAATGTTGAAACTTAACAAAACAAGCAGTAGTCATCTTTTTGTTTTCGTATCCTTTGGCCGCTACGAAAATGTTTTGGGTGCCTAATCTGTCACTAAACGCTTTAGTCACCTACTTGTCACGATTAATTACATGCGGAAAAATGATTGAGAAATTTTGAAGGAGAAGAAAAGGCCTTGAAAGACAAAAGCTATAAATGGAGGGTGTGAGTGTACTGTGGACAAGAACGCAAAAGAATATGCCGAGAGATATAGAGTTTAAATGTGAGGGCAGAGTAAGGAGAACAAGCAAAAGCAAGAGTGTAATCAATGGTAATAAGTGGAAAGAAAAATGTCATAGTTGGGGTCAGATGCACTTATATTTTCTCTTAATTTGAGTGGTGGAAAGCAATAATTATATGTCATGATGCGGGTCAATCCCCATTGATCTCCCTATTCTTCTAATTATCATTTCTTAAAAAAATAAAAAATAAAAAACTAAAGAAGAAAAAAATAAATTGATTGTGAACTCATCACTCCGGAAATTCGATTGTAAGAGAAATAAATTGGTTTATGAATTGACTTGTTGACTGGAAGTCTTCACTGTACATTGTGGAAGAAAGCAGATGACAACGGTCACATTCTCACCCCACTGGATTTGGGAATTTGAAAATAACAAAATGGGAAGAGTGCTGCCTGTCAAAGATAAGCATTTAGGCCCGTTTGCGATTTATCTTTTCAATCCAAAACAGCTCCACTTTAAAGTTAAGCAAAAATAAAAATGTTTGGTAAAAATAAAATATTCTGCATATAATTTTTTTTTAATTAACGATATTATCTACCTTAAGGGGGTAGAGGAGTGGAGTAAACTTTACAATAGGTTAGCAATAATATGATTCAAATTCGCTTTTGACTAGAACCAAACCTAAGATCTCTCACTTATAAGTGAAGATGAATACTACTAGACCATAGTACTAAGTGGCATATTCTGCTTACTTTTAAAGTAATGACTTTCAGGCAGTAGCTTTTACAAACAACATGAAAGTTACTTTTAAAAACTACTTTTGTAAAAAGTGGAGTTGAGCCTTCAATGAATAATTTTAATTCATGTAATAACTTCATTAATTTTTTACAATGAAATTATTTATCATTATATATATACATCTTCTCTCTTGAAGTACAAAGTGACCACCACCACTTACCACTACAATCACTAACCTTACATCACCACTGCCACCACAATCGTCGCCACCGCCACCACCTCCGGAATTGCCATTACCGCCACCATCATTGCATCATCGTCATCATAATCGTCACCACCGCCACCATCACCACCACCACCACCATTACCACAACCACAACCGCCACCACTGCAATCACAACTGCCACCTTCGTTGTCATCGCCTCTACCACCATTGTAAGCTTTGCACCCCAACCACCACACCCCACTATTCGCACCACCATTATACCCTTACAATTGTAGTTTCCATCAACATCACCACCATCACCCCACCACCACTGCCACTGCTACTACCATCATCGTCACCACCACCTACGATTGCAACCACCAGCCTTACACCATGTTGCCATCACCACCACTGTTGTTGTCTTATCCACTATCAACAAAGCTGCAATTGCCACCATACTTATGCCACCACTACTACTTTACACCCCAACCACCACACACCACCACACCACCCCCACCATTGTTGTCATCACCACTACTACCACCATTGTAAGCTTTGCACCCCAACCACCACACCCCACTATTCAAACCACCATTATACCATTGCAATTGTTGTTGCAATCACCATCACCACCTTTGACCTCACCGCCACTGCCATTGCTACTACCACCATTGTTGCCACCACCTACAATTGCAACCACCAGCCTTACACCATGTTGCCATCACCACCATCAACAACGCTACAAATGCCACCACTGCTACCTCTACTTACCCCAACCACCAGACTTATTGGAATAATATTGGCATCACCATACCACTCCCACCATTAATGCTGCCATCACCACCACTACCCTGCCACCACTATTGTTGTCTCCGCTCGCACTACTATGTTTGCTTTTGTCATTATATACAATTATATCACTTTTACATTAAATTTATCAAACGTTTTGACACTACTTTTTATACTCACAACATTTAGAAAAATAAATCAAACGCTCAACAGTTTTATTTTACAGCCAATTATTCTAAAGGACAACAACAATTTTTTTTTTTTTTTTATAAAACAATATATTTACACACTAAAAGGAAGAGAATAAATTAGTTGCAAACTCGTCACTCTCGAAATTTGTACCTAAGACCGCTTGTAAGAGAAATATTACTAAACAGTATTACTAAGTGGCAAACAAGGATGAAGCTAGTGTATGCATTTCCAAAAAAAAAAAATTATGGTTTGCATTCCACTTCTCAATGATGAGAAATTTTTCTTTGTGATGGGAATACGGATGGTACACCACGTGTTTTTATAGAAGTGGTGGAAAATTTTATTTTTTAAGTTATTAACTTTTTAACACACATATCTCGTCATTTGTATAGTGACACGTGGTGTACCGGTCATATTGAAAAATCTTTCATCAATGACTAGCCCTAATTAAACTACAATTAAAAAGAAAAGAAAAAATTAATGAAAAGAGCTTTAAAACTTTGAGTTTTAACCAAAAACCACCCATTAACTTTATTTAATGACAAGGACAAGAGAAAGAAAAAAAATACCTAACAAAAGTGCGTGCTAGCCCTGCACCTCTGTCAATACGTGATCCCCTGACTCTTTCTTATTTTCCCGCCATGGAAGCCATGGCAATCGATTCGGAGAAGAACCTCCACAGAAAGCATTCCGCCTACAACTTGCTGGTTCGTACTCTCTCTCTCTCAACAAAATTTTACTTCTTGCATCAACTTGTTTGTTTGCCGAGAAAACACATGAGAAAGTATAAATATTTTCATGCTCAATCGGAAAGTTCAGTTCTTTTCCTAGGGTTTTTTCAGCAACCGTTCCCAAATTACGAGCCATAACTGACATGAGCACAACAACGCACATGAAAGAAGTCCTTTATATACTTGATGCATTCACAAATCTTTATATACTTGATGCATTCACAAATCTTTATCACTGAAGAATCAATTTCTTTAAGTTCATCTTGAACTATCAAATTCAAGACATGAGCACAATAACGCACATGAAAGAAGTCACCATTCATCACGAGAAGACTTCTAAGATTCAATTGATTCTTCAAAATGCTAACAAAAGAAATATTTGAAGAAGCATTATCCAAAGTAAAATAAAATAACTTCTTCTCAATCCCCCACTCAATCACTAATGCATTAATTTTCTCAGATAATGCAACACCAGTATGAGGAGGAGGCATGTAACAAAAACTTAAAATTCTCTTATGCAATTTCCAATCTTTGTGTACAAAGTGAGCAGTAAGAGCAAGATACCCATCATTGCATTGCGAGGTCCATAAGTCTGATGTCAAACAAATTCTACATTCAACTGAGCCTAACAAATTATAAAGCCTTTGTTTTTCATTTTTGAACATCCTTAACACACATGCTTTAATTGTATTTCTACACGGTAACTTAATATCAGGAGATATATATATATATATATATATGCAAACAAAGCCCTAATTCCCTCATATTCAAAAAAACTAAAAAGGAAGATTATGCTTGATGATGGCCTCTACCAATAAGCCACGGAATACCACAACATCAAAGTTTTGGGAACAGAATTCAGACACCAACGACAATAATCCACCAGTCTGTCCAGGGCATGTTTTCAAATGTCTATTCATATTACCCATCCTATGATGACTATCATCTATTACCAGTTTCTTACAATCTTTACATTGAGCATGACTTTTACCATCTTCAAAAATAGTAGTCAATTTGTTGAAATTTTTCCAAACAGGAGACCTAAGTGTTCGCTTACCTAATTTGATCACTCTAGCGTTTTTCTTTGCCGGACCTGCATTCGTATCTTCTATATTTTCACTTCCATGATCAAGTTGTATTCCCATTGCTCTACAACATCCGTTGCTTCAAGAAAGAAAAACAAAACTATAAAATCTTGCTCATACCAATTTCATACCATATCCATTTCAAATTCACATATCCATCTCAATTTCAAATAGATCAGCATATATCAGCAAATAGATCAGCATTTCATTTCAATTCAATTTCAATTTCAAATTCACACATCCATTGCTTCAGCTTAATCCATATGGCACAACGCCAAAGTAAATAAGTAAACAAGTTGTATGTTACACACACACATGCACGCGAGTGCACACACACACACACACACACACACACACACACACACACATATATATATATATATTGAACAACAAGCTGTATGTTACTCTCAACCAATCCAAATTATATTTGTAAAGTAAAACATGCAAGCCTATTTCTCTCCAATAATTCAACCAATTCAAAAACCCTCACCAAGCCTACTATAAAAAAATGATGAATAGCTAGCCACTGTGAAAACACGCAACTATAAGATAACGATTAGGGTTATCCCCATCAACACAACACCTCTCCATTTCTCTCCAATAATTCATCCAATTCAGAAACCCTCCTCACCAACCCTTCTATACAAAAAATGAATAGTTAACCATTGCGAAAACATGCAGTTATCAGATAACAATACGGGTGTTGGACAAAGGCCATGAACTTCAAAGCTTTCCCCATCATAGCCTCATTTAGATGTGTTTGATATATATATATGGTTCAGTCTTTTTAACACACATTTAGAAACCTTAATTTTAGAAATTCCTAATTCGTGTGATTATTATTTATAGCAATTAGCAAATACCAAATAGATCAGCAGTTTCAACACAACAAACTGAGCAAAGAAATCATGAAGCAAATTAACCTTCTCCAAAAGCCCTATTTTAGAAACCCTAATTTCAAAAATTCCTAATTCCAAAAGCCCTAATTCAAAAACCCTTGAGTTTATTGCAGGAATTTTTTACCTTGTGCAATAAGAAGTATGGACTGAGACCGAGAGCTCGATTCAGAAGCCAGATTTGGGTGGTATTGGTATGGAGTATGGAGTCTGGACAGTGGGTGAACCGGTGAAGTTGCGATTTAGGTGAGGAGTGAGGACTGACAGAGTGACTGAGTAAGGGGTGACAGTCTGGGTGTGGTCGAGGACAACAAGGAGGGTGAGCCAGTGAGGTCACTGAGATTGAGGTGAAGGTGACTCGGTGAGGCGCCGCATGAGGTCAATCAAGAGAGACAGAGAGAATGATTTGAGTTTTTGATTTGAGAGAGAAGAGAATGATAGCTACAATGGACAGCTGAGATTAAATCTCAGCCGATCCAATGGTCATCAATTTTTTAACTTTAATTTAATAGATATATAATTATATTATATAATTATTATAGTTTTTAGGGGTATAAAATTTTTAAATTAATATATATATATATAATTATTATAGTTTATTTGTACTTTCATTAAGTATAACATAAGATTTTGTGGTATCCACTAGTGTAAATATTTTAAATTGAAGATCGAATTCATTCATTGTATTCATATAGGGTCAAGGAGTGTAGTTGTAAAATATCATCAAATTCGGAGTTAAAATAACCATTAAATCGTGATTTTTCGTTTATAACCGTCGAAAAGTTTTGTCCCGTTACTTGATCTTTGAATATTTGTTTTTTGCAATTTTTGGCATATGCGATCTTGAAGCATATACAAACAAGTTTGACGGTTAGATCATTGAAACTAGTTTCATAGAATGCGTATCCCATCAAAACAATATATTCACTAACACTTAAGAGTTTATTCATACTTTCATTAAGTATAACATAAAATTTTGTGGTATCCACTAGTGTAAATATTTTAAATTGAAGATTGAATTCATTCATTGTATTCATATAGGGTCAAGGAGTGTAGCTGTAAAAAATCATCAAAATCGGAGTTAAAATAATCGTTAAATCGTGATTTTTCGTTTATAACCGTCGAAAAGTTTTGTCCCGTTACTTGATCTCAGAATTGTGACAGCCCATCCTGAAATATTTCTATCGATGGTGTGGAATGATGATTTTGCCCTTGGATGTTAGTAGGTGTAGTGGGTGATTTGTTTTTGGTTGGTTGTTTTGTTGCCAACTAAGACCACACACACACACACACCCAAACAAACCCGTGGACTCTCTCTCTCTCCTCCCTCTCGGATTTTTCTGCATTTCCGTACAACCTGTACGGACAAACCTCAATCACCATTTCAGGCACGGATCGAGATCATTGTTAGTGTTTTTGAGTTCCTTGCAAGCTCAGGAACCCTTTGATACCTTTGGTTGGATGTGAGGCCTTCGTTTTCCCGAGAAACCAATAATCCCTATTTGGTGCACTATTCATGCAATCGTGATCGCGAAGTTTTTAGAAGTTTTTAAGCTTCTAGGGAGCTTTAGAATGTCTTCACGAAGCTCGGAGAAGAAAAACGAAGTGTTTTGGATGTCGGGAAGTTGAGTTTGGCGAGTTTCAAGTTTGGCCGGATTATCGTGGGTTTTTCCAGTGAGATTCCGTTGGATTTAAGTTCCAAAAGTGGTAAGGTTTTATTCTACTCGTTGTAAGCTTCATTTTGGTACAAATTTCATGGAATTTGGTTAAGAATTGAAGAAGATATGAAGTTTTGAAGTTTTTCCAGAAACCAGCGAAAATTCAAGTTACAGACGGCGGCGCTAATAACAGCGGACGGTGGAGACCGGCAAGACTCACCAGAGAATACGAAGAATATTCCATCAATTTTGATGGAATATACTAACGGCGTTACTAATGGCATCAGGTATATATAACGGTATATTTCATTTTTGGACAGGAATATTCCTTAACGCCGTTAGGGTTTCCGTACGTGTGCCAAGCACATGCCTGCGCGTGGCAGGCGCGTTTGGCTGTGCCTTGGCCAGCGCGTGGGTGGTCGAAAAATTATTTTTAAAATATGGGGATGTTCGTGGTGTTGAGTAGATCACGTTGGTATATTCAAACACTCCATTTGAGCACTGTATGAGAAGTTATTACCTAGTTTTGGTTATGTACTTTAAATTAACGTTTATATAGTTGTTTCGCATATAGGTGAGACCTATCCTGAGGACAAGCGCAGTCACTCAAGGCTCGGGGCTACGACCCTTCCACATATCAGTGAGTGGGCTTTTGGTTTTCCGTATATACCTATATACTTGAGATTTTTCCCAGAAAATGAAATTGAATGATTATATGTTTTAAAACGCCATGCAAAGTATCTGCCTATTTTACTTATGCATTAGTAGTTGCATATATTTATGATTGGTCACAGGTAAGTGCCAGGTAAGTTCATAAATTAAATATATGAGATTGCTTTAGTTAAGTGAGATACGATGGGAGATATATTGAGAGCTCATAAACCTGCATCCCAGTGTTAATGCTCCCGCCCAGAGTTAGGGCATAGTCCTTCACGTGATGTTCACCTCCCGCACCATACGCTCACCTTGGATCCAAGTTAGGTGCACAGTCCTGTCGTACAGACCACTATAGGTGGTTCCGACTCGTAGGTGACCCGCGATTATTCGCACAGTCTTCACGTGATCGTAGCACTTGAGCATATTTATTTACACCCAGTCCTGTCGTACAGACCACTTTAGGTGGTTCTAACTCGTGTGCAGGTATAGTTGTTGAGATGTGGATTTGAGCTCTAGATTCAGCTGTACAGGTCACGTTAGGTGACTCCGGTTGACATATCATTTGCATTGGCTTATATCACTTGGCTTACTTATATTTTATGCTAAGATATTCGATATGGTATATTTGTGAATGTTGCTATTCTGAGCATGGTTATGGTGTGTGTCTTTATATATATATATATATATATATATATATATAAGTTCTAACCCATCTCTGTAAAACCTGTATAATTTCCCAGAAAATAGAATATATATATATATATATATTCTATTTTCTGGGAAATTATACAGGTTTTACAGAGAGGGGTTAGAACTTTTGAGAATGAAATGATTTTGAAAAGCTTTGTTTTTGCCCACTCACACTTTCTGTTTTGCGCCCCTCCAGGTTTTAGGTAGAAGTGCTTTGGTGGCTCACGAGGATCTTGACGGTGGTTCTGACAGAACAACACAAATGTAGGATCACCTTTGGATGTTGTATAATTATTATTCGTCCTGCTGAACTGCACTTATGCTACTTATTCTCTGGTTGTGAATTCACACTTAATCTTGCACTTGTTCTTAGCTAGTACTGCTAGTAGTTTGGTTTTTATTTATTTACATTTCTATTATTATTTATGCTTCCGCACTGTGCACATGGCTACGTCACCCTCACGTGACGGCTAGCACGCCTCGATTTCAATCGGGGTGTGTCATGAATGTTTGTTTTTTGCAATTTTGTGCGTATGCGATCTCAAAGTATATACAAACAAGTTTGATGGTTGGATCGTTGAAACTAGTTTTGCAAAATGTATATCCCATCAAAACAATAGATTCACTAACACTTAAGAGTTTATTCATATTTTCATTAAGTATAACATAAGATTTTGTGGTATCCACTAGTGTAAATATTTTAAATTGAAGATCGAATTCATTCATTGTATTCATATAGGGTCAAGGAGTGTAAGTGTAAAAATCATCAAAATCATGATTTTTCGTTTTATAATCGTCGAAAAGTTTTGTCCCGTTACTTGATCTCTGAATGTTTGTTTTTTGCAATTTTTGGTATATGTGATCTCGAAGTATATGCAAACATGTTTGACGGTTGGATCGTTGAAACTAGTTTCGTAGAATGCGTATCCCATCAAAACAATAGATTCACTAACACTTAAAAGTTTATTCATACTTTCATTAAGTATAACTAGTATAACTATTTTAAATTGAAGATCAAATTCATTCATTATATTCATATAGGGTCAAGGAGTGTACTTGTAAAAAATCATTAAAATTGAAGTTAAAATAACCGTTAAATCATGATTTTTTGTTTATAACTGTCGAAAAGTTTTGTCCCGTTACTTGATCTTTGAATGTTTTTTTTTTGTAATTTTTTGCTGATGCGATCTCGAAGCATATACAAACAAGTTTGACGGTTGGATCGTTGAAATTAGTTTCATATAATTCGTATCCCATCAAGTTCAATGGTACATATATATATATATATTAGTTTCGTATAATTCGTATCCCATCAAGTTCAATGGTGTGTGTGTGTGTGTGTGTATATATATATATATATATATTAAGTAGATTTAAATCTATTTATTTTGTATGTCTAATTATTATAGTTTTTAGGGGTATAAAATTTAATTTAAAATTTAATATATATATATATAATTATTATAGTTTTTTTTTAAGGTTATAAATTATTAAATTAATATTTTGCTTATCGTGTTACCCACGTGTATATCCGAACAAACCCGTTAGCTTAACAGGTGCTTATCGGGTTACCCGATAACTACCCGATTCGTTATCATGTTGACCCAAACACCTGTTAATTTTGTGTCGTGTCGTGTCGGGTTATGGGATCGTGTCAGGAATTGTCAGGCCTACCTATTACTATCCACAAATGGAAGTATATTCCCGGCAATGTGAAGCACGACCTAATGGAACAACTGTCAGTAATTGTTTTATTTTTTCATATAATATTTTTATTAAATTTAATTATATATATATATATTTAGCAATTTATTGTTTTTTTTTTATAACTAACGCTTGTTTGTTTTTCTTTCTATTTTAGACCGAGTTCGATATTGGTTATGGTGAACCGCAAACGTTTGACTATATTTATGGGCTGCGGACGGCACAGTTCAAAGAGTGGATGTTCAAGCTACGCGACTACTATGCTGATCAAGAAAGTCATCAACAAGCTCTGAACAATCCGCCCAATGAATTTCAGAATTGGAGGGAGCAGTGGACGTGGCTATGTGAATTTTTTGACTTTTTTTTTTGGTTATTTTTCAAAGGACAGTTACTTGTTTTTTTTTTAATTTGCGATGGACAATTACTTTAATTAAATAATTGTGTTTAATATTTTAATATTAAATAAGTTAATTTTTTTTAAAAAAAATTAATTAATCAAACGTTAATAATGTTTGATTAATTAATTTGTTAAAAATTTATTACGTTTGTCGGACGAATCATTCCATCGGTTTACTTCAACTAAACCCATATAACCTCTTATTCAAGGGAAATTTTATTTGAACCCATATAACCTCACTCTATACCAAACTTAAATTTTAAACGTGAATTGTCTTTTTTATCCTATTAAATAATTACCATCAAGTACAAGATGAAATTAATAATAAACTTAAATTTATCAATAAATCCACATTCAATAATCAAACTCTATCATCACTCAATCTTTATCACACGTTCATTCTGACCGACAGATGATGATTTTGAAGTTTCAAATCCTTCAACTAATATGATATAAACCAATTATGCAAGGTTTTTTTTCTTTTGATTTTAATTTTTTAAGAGTTTAAAAGTAGAATGCTTGCAAAGAAGGTCTTTATTAGCCCGTGAGTAAATTTCTCTATAGGACTCATAACTCTTCCAAAAGGCATTGAGAATTCAATACTGCCACCAACTGAAACATAAAAATAATGAAGCTAAAACACTAGTAAATAGTTTGGCATATACATAACAAAAACAGAGAGGGTAAAAACAACTGAAGTGAAGAAATGTATTTTTTGAAGTTCTTGAAAGCAGCAATGTCGTCCATCAACCAATGCGAAAGGATTCATCTCCATAAAAGTGAAGTCCAAATCCGGAACGTAATGATAATTAGCAAAATTGTTCTTACTTCTAACAACTTCAAATACAGAAAACACGGCTTTGATAAAGTCCTCAGGTTCTGCTTTAATATATATTCAAGAATAATAATTGTCAATGATTTCCATAAACCAATGAACAAGAACACAACATATACCATATTATTGACGCATTAAGCAAATATGGTTTTTCCGTGGCACTAAAACAGAAGAAGGTTGGGACATTGATGATAATGAATATCATCCGTCCTATACATACGAGAACAATGTATATCAATGTGCCTATATTTTCGACTCTAGCGAGAAAAAAGAGAAGAGCATCATCTTCCTGCATGGGCACTTTTCTCATGAGAAATATTGGAGTAGCAAGTTCGCACATTTAAGAATCAAATATGAAAATAGTTTTAGAAACAGAGTTGTCTCCAACTGATTTTGGGTTTATTTTCTATATGGGTGTAAAGTTCACTTATTGAATTGAGTTTGTGAGGGTAGATTAGATAGTAAATTTGAGTTTAAAGAGATATTGATAGTTAAATTGAAAACAATATGGGTGTAGAGAGTAAGTTGGGTGTAAAAAGAGGTTATATGGGTTTAAATAAAATTTCCCCTAGTTTTATTAATAGTTAGAGGTGGATCCACTAAAAGACCAAGGTCAGGCCCCCTCCAAATACCAGAGAAAATGCATGGAACGGTCCTCTTGTGGACCCTCCTATTGCCTTGTACAAGCCCTTTGATTGTCTAGTACAAAGTCTAGGGGGTGCCCACCAAGCGTTCAATGAAATGGCCACTAGACGGAATTTAGAGATAATTGACGCTTTTTGCTCAATTTAACCTCACATAGTCTTTATTTATTTATTTTGGCTAGTAATTTTCGACACTCCTCTCATAGCCTCATGTACTCCACATGCAAGTGCAAAATAAAGAAAAAGAATACCAAAAGCCGTAGCCATATTTTTCTTGGTTTGTAAGCTACCGAGACACCCAAGGGCAAGATGATCACATCACAGTCTAAACTTTTGAGGAAAGGGAGTGAGTAGGCCCAAAGACTATTGTAACCAGGAACCTAATCTTTTGGGGATACAAATGTCACTGGGACCGAACATTCCTTCAACTTTGCCTGAATAATTAGAGAGAGAGAGAGAGAGAGAGAGAGAGAGAGGACTGCCAAGATGTAATAGATGCTTTGCACAGTCGCTGGCACACCAACGGCGGGAGTCACCCGCTCCAGTGGCTGCTAAGAATCCTCAATTTAGAAATAGTTCAAACAGTTGTCTGACTAGGCATTCATTCTTTACCACCACCTTTGCGGAGTTCATTCATTGAATACAAATGTTTCTAAGATAGGCAAAAATGTGGCTAATCCAGCACCACCATTGACCCGATTTTAAGGCTATGGTGCTCAACAAAAAGGTTTCCAGCCTTGAAAACACTATTTGTTATTTATGTAGCTCATTCATGTACATACAAAATAAGTACAACTAAATACAACAGAAACAAGCAAAGGGAATCAAGTCAAGGGTGCCAGACTAAACTAACCAAATTAAGCGGAAACATGCTCTTCAAAGTTCAACTGATGGCTACGATGCTATAAAACCCCATCACCTTAAATATGCCCACTTACATCACAGTGACGATGGAATTGCTTTTTGTATATAAGAAGCAATTACGGTGATGAAGCAGAATCTATTTTGGTGTCATTTTCATGGCGGAGACTGTTCTCTCTACTGTAAGCAGCTTTTGCACCCTGAAAAATAATGAAAATTTGAGATTGTAGAACTTTCATTCGTCAAGAACAATTACTCAGTTCAAAATTCAGGCAAAAAGAAAATTCTGGGTCCTGGAATGATATACTTCTACAATTCAAGGAAAATAAACGCTTACTTGGAAGATTGTTCCTAACTTTTTCAATGCTTGAGCCCGAACCCTCAAAACATCCCTGGACACAGTGGGGTCTTTAAGTACCTGAAAGAAAAAAACAATTCTTAATGATTTCAAATTTTACTTGATGCCATTTTCAATTATATTTACCCAATACAGCAAAGTAATAGCTTGCCGGAAGAATTACTATTATTAGACTTAAGAAAGGAAATACTGGAACTCACTGCTTGGCAGACATGTGACAAGGTTGACTCAATATCAACGACGTTAATCTGCCATAGGGAATTAAGCACTAGATCCTTCTTATCTTCAATGGCTTTTATTAAGGTCTCTTCCTTGTTTTCAACTTGGTTCAACTTCTTTAGATCTTCCTGTAGTTGAATTAAAGCTACAGCACCTGCACAGATCACGATAATCATGAGTTTCCCGGACCATAACAAATTTTTACATTGAAGGATAGTACCGGCAGTCACCAAACAGAACCCCTTAATAGCAGAAAGTGTACCTGAAGCTGCTGCTACCTGTGACTTTATCTGATGTCCTTTATCTCGCACCCATTCTGCTAAAAATGGTACCTTCATGTATCGTTTGTCCTTTCCAATTTCTCTTGCAGCTTTCCTCGTGTAAATATAACCAATCGTATGCAGCATAGCCTCACCGAAGGCTAATAAAAAAAATCAATTACAGTTTGCAGCAAGCACGACGCAAAAATAAGGTTTCATATAGTTAGCATTGAAAAGTTTTGAAGTGTAAATCAAAAATATAATTGGTGAGAATGCAATATTTTTCCAGTTTATTATTTATTTATTTATGTTTGGAACAAAGCATGCCATTTGGTGAGTTTTGTTAGAAGTGAGAATTAAGCTTCATTTTCCTTAGGCATTTTCTTATCGAAAGTTAAAATTGAGCTTTATCTTCAGTAGCTACTAATGAGTCAATTTTTTGTTACAAGAAAATGACCAGGTACAAAGTCATAACAACAGATTTTTAAATCTTTTGGTAATAAAATATAGTCCTTTTGGGGAAGACAAAGAAAGGGGTATACCAGCTGATGAGAGGCGTCGTGCTTCTGAATTTGCCCATTTTACAAAATCATCTGTACAACCATCAACAAATGGTTGAAGGCGATCTTTCAGAATAGTTATGAGCTTTGCTTCCCTTTCCTTCTGCAAGGCCTACATAATTAAAAAATAACATAAAAAATAGGCAGAGGATTTAATTATGCATACTGAAAAACCAATATATTGTTAACACCAGTGTAAAATACATACCCTCATTTTCTCCGTGACTTTCTGCCTACGGACTTCAGGGTCCTGTGTCTCTTCTTCAATTTCAACAGATGACAAAGAAGCCAAAGAAAGTTGACCTACATAATCTTCAAAGAATTCGCTTCCAAAAAGCATTCCAAACACAGCTGCAGGGTCTACCATGGAATCCCTGAAAGATAAAACAGAATTGCAGACATAGGTATTTTCCACCATGTTTCCCTTGAACATCCTCTCTTACAAAAATCATTTCAACACTATACTTGTAGATACAACTGAAGAAAAAACATCTACAATTTAGAAAAAATTCGTTTAGGCACAACTTAATATCATGAAGACTAATTGGAGGAAATGTTTAGAAATGCATAACAACTCTTTCCAGGAAATTACAAAATCGCATAATATCTTAAAGGATTGTTTTTCAATGACAAAATATTTAAATGATCCTTATACAGAATTGTTATTGGCACTCCAAAATTATCATGGTGCACTCCAAACTTTCTATATTTAGAAAGAAAAATAAACTTGTGAGGAATGCACAATGAGATTTTTGGAGTGGCAATAACAGTTCCCTTATTATATTCCCTAGTTTGTAAAAACTTACTGTTGTATGCCTGCCTTTCCATGCTTGTCATATGCTTCACGCTTCTCTGGATCACTTAGAACCTGATAAGCCTCGCCAAGTGCCTTTATGAAAATACAATAACCAGGAAATTAAGACACAATATGACAAGAAAACTTAAATAAAAAGCAGCATTTAGATGCGAATGAAACATTTTCCTGTACTTTCCCACAACTCTTCAACAAACCAACCAGCCAAATATACAACTGGCCTGGGGAGGAAATGTACATGTATGTTCAGGGTGGGGTAGCACATATACAAGGCATATTGCCCAATTCAAGTTCCCATCAAATTACAACATACTTCTCAGAGACTTGAGTATTTGTTTTACAATGTTGCATCTTGGGAGTTTCCAAAAAAAAAACACATCGATTTTATAAGCTCAACAAGATGAACACAAGTATAGTGATGGTTATCCATATGAAATTTCAATCACAAGATTTGCTTGTCTATAGACAATGAAGTTTAATGGCACAGATTTGTGGTTAGCTTACCTGGAAATTGTCGGCAGCCTTTGGATCTCCAGGATTTTTATCAGGGTGAACACGCCTTGCCTAGAAACAACACATAAATCCCATATTATAGTTGAGTAGATGTCTCTATCCTAAACATAAATAAAATCTGGGCATAGAAATATAACAAGAAGAAATTCCAAATATTTTAAACTTGAGAAAGAAATCAAGAAAACATACAGCAAAGCACAGTGCATAATGATGCGGACCATAACTAATAAACGGATCAATGCGGCATAAGGATCAGTTCTGTGATGTGCTTAAAGCTTTGGACAAACAGTATTCTTGAGGCCTTCGAAGCCCGATAGTTCCAGGAAATGGCAATATTTCGTAGAGAACAAGAATAAAATAAAAAGAGAGTACATGTTCCAAGCCAGATACCTATTAAAGTTGTGTGAACTGTACGGAACCATGCTACTGAATTCAAACAGTGCACTAACTTAAATGGGCAGCTATAAGTAATAAAAAAGAACTACGAACTTTTGAAACTCCTGATTGGGGAAAACAAAATTGTTCTTGTTAACAGTTAAAATGCTTCCAAAAGCGAAAACAATGAAGAAATTGGGAGAGGGAGAATTTCTAACTACCTTGAGATAGTAAGCCTTTTTTATCTCAGCATGAGAGGCGTCGACATTGACACCCAATACTTCATAGTAGGCAGTGTCCTTCACCATAATTCTCAGATCACAACCCTATCAGACCAACATTACAGAAACAAATCAGTCCATAAATTGGAAAAAGAAAAGAAAAATAGTATTAAAAAAAAAATAAAAAATTATAGAAATAATAGGCTAAATTAGATTCCAAATTAAAACTCCCAGGAAACCAGAAAAAAGATTGAAAGTGAGTATAGCCAGATCTGAGGAGGAGAAAGAAACCCAATTGAAAGTAAGTAGCAATGCAAATATACAACACCTCAAAATTAGGACACTGTTATTATATTCCAGTTTAATTAAAGCAGGCAAAATGGAACAAAAAGAAAAACCCCAACAAGGGAAAACTTTGAATCGAGCAACTTACGGTTTCAAGGGCTCAGGCAATGAAATTTGGACAAGCAAAATATGGATTGTGTTTCAGAGTCTAATCCCAACCACTCATTGAATCGAACGACTATAACTACAGCTTGCATCAGTCCACAAGAGATAAAGACAAGGTTTGAATTAGAGCTATCAAAAATGGAACTGTGATTGTTTTAATAGGCAAGTTTGTTTTTTTTTTTTTTTTTTGGGCAAAAGTTTTAATAGGCAAGTTGGTGCCAAATAGTTGTGTCAAAAATGAAATGTCCATATTAACCTTTAATATAATGTCTATTTGACAGAATGGATAAAAATGAGGTGAGTTAAGACTAAATGGGACCAAATGACAATTTCAGACGGTAAAGTGAGACAATACTAGTTTCAGTGGATAAAATGAGACTAAATGACAATTCATAGGACAAAGCAATTAGTAAATTTTTTTTTCTTTAGCTATGCTCCACATTTATTTATTTATTTCTTTGAAAGTGCTTATACATTACATTTTATTCTGTCTTACTTTATTCTTCTACTCACTCTTCAACTTTGGTGTTTCATATTACCTCATTTTATCAAGAGGGGCCTTGAGATAGCGCCTCGTTTTTGAATTTTTTAGATTAAACATCTGCTTTTTTTATGAATTTCATTAAATATTCTTGCTAAATCTTCTAAAATATAGTAGATAAGTTTTAAAAATCTTAAAACACATCAAACTTGATCTAGTTATGCTTCTAACATACATTGTCTTCCTAACTCCACACCGCACAAATAAGACCATCTCCAAAGGCGATGTCAAATCTTAGGTGGAATTCCATATAATCAATTTTGAAAGTAAGAGTGAGCTCCAACCGATATGTCAATCCTATGTGGATTGACATATGAGTTTTCATATGTCAAATTTGACATATAAGAAAAGGTGATGTCAATTTTTTTTAATTATTTTATTATGTGTGTCCTATTAATGCACAAATTATAGATCTTGAAAAATGTATTTTAATTGATTTCTTTTTAAAATGAGTCATACAAATATCATTTATAACAAATAAACATATAAGTTGGAAAAAGAGAAAATCTCACATTGCCACATCAACCATCAAATTAACATTTGACATTTATCTTTTGACATCTCCTTTGAAGATGATCTAATATGATATCTTCTTAAATTTTTTAATCTATCGTCTACTCTAACAAAGTCAATTGTTTGCTAAAAAAAAAAAAAAAATCTTCAAAAATGTAGTAGACAAGTTTAAAATTAGAAGTCTGAATGGGATAAGACTGAGACAGCAAAATCTACTAGAAGGGAGCTGCCATGCACAAGTGGAGCAGCATTTCTGATTCTCCCTCAAAGAAATGGAGATCACCACCATGTCTGAAGCCATCCAACTCCACGCCCAAATTCTCAAAACAGGCAGCACCCACCCTAACCAGAACCAGAACCTCTCGAAGCTTTTCACCTTCTCTGCTCTCTCCCCCTCCGGCAACCTCGCCTACGCCCGTCTCATACTAGACTCCTTCCCTACCCCCAACTCTTACCACTACAACACCATGATCCGAGCCTACTCTCAAAGCTCCGACCCCATTCAGGCCCTCCATCTCTTTCTACCCATGGTTGCCGAACCGACCCGCCGTGCGCCCCGCCCCGACAAGTTCACCTACCCCTTCCTCCTCAAGTCATGTGCCCGTTTGAGACTGACCCATGAAGGAAAACAGCTTCATGGGTTGATGGTGAAGTCGGGTCTCGGGTTGGACCGGTATATCCAGCACTCGTTGATTCATATGTACTCTTTGGGTGGGGAGTCGGGTCTTGCTTATAAGGTGTTCGAGAGAATGTCTGACAGAGATGTGGTGTCCTGGACTTCAATGATTGATGGGTTTGTTGACGATGGGAGGCCCGTGGAGGCGATAAGGTTGTTTGAGAAGATGGTGGATGATGGGGTTGAGGTGAATGATGCAACGGTGGTGTCAGTTTTGAGAGCGTGTGCGGAGACAGGGGCGTTGGGCGTAGGGAGGAGAGTGCATGGGGTTGCTGAGGATAGAGGGATTGGTTTGAAGCCTAACGTTAGTACTGCCCTTATTGATATGTTTGCAAAATGTGGTTGTATGCAGAGTGCAAGGCGGGTTTTCGATGACGTTGTGGATAAAGACGTTTTTGCATGGACGGCTATGATATCCGGCCTTGCAAGCCATGGCCATTGTCAAGATGCTATTGAATTGTTCAGTAAAATGCAAGATTTTGGTGTGAAACCTGATGGGAGGACTATGACTGCAGTTTTATCGGCATGTAGGAATGCAGGTCGGGTTGAGGAAGGTTACGCGTACATGACAAGTATGCAGAAGGATTATGGAGTTAGGCCTACAATTCAACACTATGGATGCATGGTAGACCTCCTTGCTAGAGCGGGTCATTTGAAAGATGCTGAAGAGTTCATCAGGAAAATGCCCATGGAACCTGATGCAGTTTTGTTCAGAAACATGATATGGGCATGCAAAGTGCATAACGATACCAATCGAGCGGAACGCTTGATAAAATATCTTCAACAGCTAAAGACGAATTCAAATGATAGCGGAAGTTTTGTACTTATTGGCAATGTGTATGCATCAGCAGGCAAATGGCACGACAAAGCAAAGGTTAGAGATTTGATGAAGCAAAAAGGACTAGTAAAGCCACCAGGGTTTAGTAGGATTGAGGTTGATGGGGAAATCCACGAATTTGCTGTCGGAGATTCAGGACACCCTGAAGCCGAAACAATTTACAGAAAGTTGGAAGAAATAGAAGATTATTTGAGAAAAGAAGGGTACAGTCCCAAACTTTCAGAGGTTTTGCTTGAAATCGACGATGAGGAGAAAGCTTTTCAATTGAGTCACCACAGTGAGAAGCTTGCTCTTGCCTTTGGTCTGATTAGAACACGTCCAGGGTCTGAAATTCGGATCGTGAAGAACTTACGGTCTTGTGAGAACTGCCATGCTGTTATGAAACTAATTTCAAAGGTGTACCGACGAGAGATAATAATGAGGGATCGAATACGATTCCACCATTTCAAGAACGGAGATTGCTCTTGCAAGGATTACTGGTAAGCGTCCAATATTAATAGAAAGATTCATTTTGAGTGATCAATTCTTTTACATCTTCCATTTGAAAAGCCTGAAGAAAGCTTTGCTTATCATTGGATATATAAGCATCATAAGAAAAACGAAGTACAACAGATTGTAACACATCACGAGAACCAAACAGCCCCATAAAATCGGGAACAAAAAAGCCTGAAGAAGTTTCATCTTCTTCCAGTAATCCTTAACAGAGGAGAAACTATACCCTATCTCTTAGAACGACTGTTGTATCTGAATTTCCTCCTCAATGGACCGTTTAAGGTTTCGAATATGGCCCTCAAAGCATCAGAAACCCTAATCTCGTCAGCCCTCATCTCAACAACCTCTTTTGTCAACCCATCAAGAACCCTGAGTAGCTCGGCACACTCAAAGCGCTTATGCAAGAACATCAGCAGCAATCCCAGCTCCTCCAAATCCAAATTCAACACCCATTTCGGCAGTTTAGTCCGAATAAGTGGTGGTGATGATACCGACATGGCATTCTCAGATTCTTGCTGCGCAAGAAAGAGACCAGAGCCTGCTTGTGCCTACATTTCTTTAACAGCTTGTCATGCTCAGCCAATTTCACTTATTTTTGGCCTCATTACCAAGTAGTCCTGCTCCGACGGCTTCTCATCTATACTAATTAATATACATGTATTATAGCATAAATGAACTGTTATCCGGTGTACGGCCATTTGGCTTGGCTCGATTAGATTTTCTGTGAAAAATAAATTTGTAGAGACGCCATCCGAAACTTGTAGAGCATCAAGGACATAAAAAAAATGAATTAACACCCAAATAGAAGGGTTCATTGCGTTTTCCCCTTTCTCTCTTGTGTTTGGCCAATGTGTATCTATATATATCTATATATATAAAGGGAGAAGGCTAAATAGGTGAAGCATTTCAAAATTATATATATATATAAAGGGAGAATATATATAAAGGGAGAAGGCTAAATAGGTGAAGCATTTCAAAATGCCAATAAAGTCCCTTTGTTTTCTTCGCAACCGAACCCAAAAAAATTCAAAAAATAAGGATAAACTGGTAAAAAAACAATAACCGCACAGAAATATGTACTGAAAAACCACCACGTTCAGGACGGTCAGATTTCTACGTAGCAGTTTCCGTTCAATTTTCAAACCCCCCCCCCCACCCCCCACAACCTTTTATCATAACTTCTTCGCTTCATTTGTTCAATTACAAAATTCTGATCTCCATAGATCGATCAACCTCCTTCCCAATTCGAGCACTGCTTTTCTCTTCTTTCTAATACTTCATCTTCGTTTCATATCAGCTTGCTCTGACTCAGCCATTCCTGTCGGTTTGGAATCGCCATCACCACTGCGTACCAGAAAGACGGAGGAGATACGTTTTTCATCGAAGAAAGCATTTCATGGACGTCCCTCGGTGTGTTCGATAAGGTTTCTCAAGCTCTCTCTATATATATAAAGGGAGAAGGCTAAATAGGTGAAGCATTTCAAAATGCCAATAAAGTCCCTTTGTTTTCTTCGCAACCGAACCCAAAAAAATTCAAAAAATAAGGATAAACTGGTAAAAAAACAATAACCGCACAGAAATATGTACTGAAAAACCACCAGGTTCAGGACCGAGAGATTTCTACGTAGCAGTTTCCGTTCAATTTTCAAACCCCCCCCCCCCCCACAACCTTTTATCATAACTTCTTCGCTTCATTTGTTCAGTTACAAAATTCTGATCTCCATAGATCGATCAACCTCTTTCCCAATTCGAGCACTGCTTTTCTCTTCTTTCTAATACTTCATCTTCGTTTCATATCAGCTTGCTCTGACTCAGCCATTCCTGTCGGTTTGGAATCGCCATCACCACTGCGTACCAGAAAGACGGAGGAGATACGTTTTTCATCGAAGAAAGCATTTCATGGACGTCCCTCGGTGTGTTCGATAAGGTTTCTCAAGCTCTCTAAAATGCCGGCCTCAGCCAACCGTCTCTGGTTCAAGTGCCAAGTTCAGTCCTAACCCTAATTTTTTCTTTCATTCCTCAATTTTTTTCCATCCGAGCAATGAAAAATTGAACTGGGTTTTCAGATTGTTGATCCCAATTTGTGAAATCGCTTCAAAGTTTGAATTTTTTTTATTACTGTGTTTTGCGTTTTTGGAATTTTTGGCTGCTAGCATACTGTCTATACTTTCAAGGAAGGTTGTTGCTGCCAAAACTGAATCACCACGTTTAGGATGGATGTTGTTTTGATCAAGGATTCCCCTGATTAGGTTTTCATTGCAATTTGGTTTTATAGTAAATGCAATTCCGGTTCCTAAAGCTGAAAGAGAAGGTTGGCAAAGGTATGTTTACAGCTATATATGTTGTGTTGCCTTCAAGTATGTGATTGGGCTTTTGTCTTTCTTCCATTTCAGTCGTCTATTTTCCTTTCAATTTTCATGAAAAATAGATTTAGATGTTAAATTTTTCAGTGCACAGGTTCATATTTAATCCCTTCTATCTATAATGGAAGTTTATAGGGTTTATGCTTTGGTTTATAGTGATGGAAATAAAGTTGTTGCGATGAAGACCTCCCTCACTCTCTGAAGCCCAGAACGGAGTGAAACGGTAATTCTCCACGCCTTCTCCTTTTCCATTGAAGAGTTTGAATACTTACTTTTCTTACGTTTTTCTCATTGAATTTTCTTTTCAGTGTATTTATTTAAATGGGTTTGACACATTTACCAGACATATGAAATTAGAAAACTAAACTTTGGGACTTTGTTGCACAATAGCCAGTAGACAAAAGGGAATAGATTGGAATAGTTGGACTCATTTTTTACTGCCTCACTGCAGAGATCATCACTTCCCTCCCCAATTTTTTTACTAATCTCTGTCCACTTCATCTAATTATTTAAATGCCTTAATCTCTTGATGCTTCTTCTTTGCTTTTTCATCCATTTTCAGTTTTCAACACATTTTGTAATTGTGAAACAGGTATTAGATTGATTTTAGCAAGTGGGTTTTTTTGTTAACGTTGATCAGATTCGGACCTTTGTGTCGATCGAAGTCATTGTTGGTGGGTTAGCTGAGGTATGATTGCTAGCTTTCTCTCTTGGTGCAATTCAAAATGTTTTGAGTTGTTATATGAACTTAAGATTTAGTAAGTACTTGCTGAAAGTCATGGGATTCCGAAATATACATTCCGTGTAAAAATGAATAAAACCGTGAGAATGTAGTATATTTCGTTGATTTTGATTGTGTTGTTTTTGGACTACACCAGAGACCATGTGGCACATTAGATAAAAATTTGACAATGTTTCGAAGAACACATACAGATCTAAAGGCTTTCCATCTATAAATATTTATTGGTAATTAGTGTTTGTAGATTGCCTCTTCAACTAACCATGTATGTTTCCTGTAATCCCCTTAATATCTCCCTAACCATCTTTGTTTCTTATTTTTTGAATGATATCTATAAATTATAGGGAATGCCCCGTCTGTACCAATTCCATGTATCCAACCTATCAAGTCCTTTTTCTCTAACCTTCTCCAAATTTGAATTTCACTGAAGTGAGGTTTTGTTTGAGTATTGGTAATTTCTATTGGTAATTCATTGTTTGATTGGTTTTGTTGCTTTCCTCCGCGTTTGAACTCATATTCGTTAATCTACCAATTTTATTTGGGCGCTAAATTGCCTCTATTACTCAAGGCTATCGTACTTTTAGTTAGATTGTTCTGTAATTTTCATTGAGATGCTTTCAATTCTCCTCTCATCTTAATTAAGTTATATAGTTTGAATTTATGCATTTTAAATCTTCCCTTTTATCTGGACTATTGTTAATAGTTATTTATAATTTATCCATTTCTTCTTGCAGGAAAGAACAAAAGTGGGTGCTTACTTTTACTGCATTGCACACACATGAATATGACTGCAAAATTAGTCACTACCAAGGTAAAAGACCATCAATGTTTCTTTATTCCTGTACCGTACACACGCATGCATATTCCTGGGCTTATTTTCACTCACTTTCTAGGCCACAAAAGGACCCTCCTCATGTTTATGTTTTCTTTATGCAGACTACTCTTCAGAGATAAATAGATTCAATGCCTCATTATAATTCTACTAATCCCACACATGCCCAAAGATCACTGAACAGTCATTTCTGATTTCTTTCAGGTTTGATCTCTCTTTCATGCTTTCGTTTCCCGAGCAAGTATATAAAAAACTGTTAACGTTCAGATTTTTGTTTCTTTCATAGCTTTTTATATTTTTTATTTTATTACACAGGTTCACATACTGTTTCAAGTTCTATGAGAATATGCTACACCGATATTGTCAGTTTCATCACACCAGAGATTGGCGGCTTCAACTTCATTGTCGCTAAGACTGGTGCCCCATTGGTGTTGGGTACAGTTTATTGATACGTAGGAGTTTTACAGTTAGCTTGGTTTTTGTATACCTCTGTGTCAAAAGAAATATGTGTATGTTGTTTGCTGCAAATGAATTGATTTCATTGCATTTCAGGCTTCATGACTTGAAGCAACTTGGTGAGTTTTATGCTGTTTGTTCGATTATAGTATATTCTTTTACAATGACTTTAAGTATTTACATAGATAGTTTTGCAATTTGATTTTTTTTATTTTTTTATTTTTTGCAGTTTTTTCTAAAAATGCACGATTCAATTTGGATGTGGCCTTACAATTTGTTTCATTACAATATAATATGTTTTAAATGTTCTCTTATTGAGTAAAGTTTTGGATGGTTTGGCAGTGTGTAATTGAAGTTCTGTTTGTCATTGTATCGATGTTGCAGTTTGCTTACTTGCCAAAGCTTTTAACATGTTTCGGGAGTGATACACATGGAGAATACCAGTGGCTACACATTCCAGGTTTGAGCATTCGCTTGCTGTCTATTTGCCATACAAATATTCAAGTCATGTTCGCTGATTAGGAATGGATTAGTCTTAGGTTAAGTAGAATTTGATTGAAGAGGCTAACATTAAGTATTTGTGGATTAATTTTTGGAATCGGAGCTCTCTCGCCAGTGATTCGATCGGGTATTGATCATATCCCTTTTCCATTTTTACCATCACCAAATTGGATGTGTGTTTTCTCTTCATTTCAGTTCTGGGTTCTATCCATTTTGCACTCCTATAATTTCCCAAATCATTTGCATACAAACTAACGTAAATTAAAAAAATAAGGACAGACGATTATGGAGTGCATGCTGATGTTTATTTAATTGAATTTTTTTGTTTTTATTTTCATATAAAAGTGTGCTTTTACCAATTGGTTTGCAACCCTGTTATATTTGCAGAACAGTGCCTCATGTTTATTACAATCATCTTAATTAGTTAGACTTTCAATTTAATGTCATATAACTATTCTTACTCTTCAGCTTAATATTAAGATGTGCTATTACTTGGAGAAATACTACTATGTTTGACACTATTTGACCAATTAGTTAGACTTTCAAAAATCTTGGTTTTACAGAACATGTTTATCATTTCAATTAAATTATATGGACATTTGTGACATAGCCATTTCTTATTTAACAGAAAACATAGTCATTTCTTATTTAACAAAAAAAGATGTACTGAATTAAGCTAAACTGTTTTATGATGAAATATTTATAGCGTCGTCAGGAATAACCTCAATTATTTCAGTTGGCTTAGCTTGGTCTTCTCTTGGCCGATTCTTTATCAACTCCTCTTGCTTAACCTCAATTATTTCAGTTGGCATTGGTTGCAGACCCATTTGTTGAGGTTCGAAGAAAAAGGAAGGGGGGAAAGTGTATTCTTGCCATAGATTTTCTGTTGGGAGTGAGCATTGAAGAAAAGGGAAGGTGATAACAGCGGAAGAGGTGGCTTTTTGCTTTTGGCCTTTTGTTTTCTTCATTTTGCTTAATGTTGAGACTTGAGAAAAGAACTAATGTTGAACCCCAATTCGAGAAGATAATGTGAAGAAAACAAATATTCGTAATTGTTATTATGTCCAAGATCAAACCAATTATGAACAATTGCTGTCCTCTAACAAAAAATTTTTTGACCCATGTTTAGTTATTCATAATCTTCTTCGTAATCTCAAATATCCACGTAGTCCAAAATCATCCCTAAACACCAGCGGGGTTCGAGAAGGATTTTGAATATCATAACAGTTATTCATAATTATGATTTTGTTAAGGAACCTTGCGTACATGCATTGTTTTTTTTTTTTTTTTAATCCATTTGAACCAAATCATCCCATCCCCATTTGCACCCCAACGACCAACAAAGCACCCCAAAATTTCTTAAGATGTGTTGATCACAAATTCTTGAAGATCATATCCTTAAACTAATGAACCAAAATTACTAATAAACATAATACCTAAGAAACCAAAATTACTAAAATTTTAAGGATATCATAACATTTTAGAGCTTATATGTGCATTGTTGAGTTATTAGAGCAAACTAATAAATATAATGAACCTACATTGAATACAAATTCTTCTTTGTCATGTGGTAGTTTTTTAGCCTCTTACTATGGGTTACACATTTCTAAAAACTTTTTATATTATGTCCAGCCCACATCCGTCATGTATTAAAAAAGTTTAAAATTCTACTCATCCAGTTGACATAAAAATTAAAACTCTATAACAGAATTCAATTCAAACATTACCCAAGTCTTGGCAGGACAAAAATCAATAAAATACATAGACTAATGAAGAAAGAATCGGAGAATTTTCAAACTACTAACCCTACAATGTCTCACCCACACAACACCAGCTCACATTTATCTCCACCGCCAACACCTAATGGAAAAAGCACGATTAATCGGAAAATGGATTATTATAAACAAAAATTCCCTAAAGCCAAAAAAAAAAAAATCCATTCAAATAAAAATCTACAAAAATAAATTTGCAAAAGGGATGGCAAAAAAAAAAATATTGATGAGGGACTGAATGTAGATGAGACCTCTCCTTTAACTCTTGAAGATCAGTGTTATCAACGTGGGTGTCAAGAAGAGGAAGAGAGCAGTTTCATTCCCTGTAAAAAACGAAGAAACAGAGCATTAACAAACAAACGCGCGAATCTCAGAGGAAATTGGTAAGAAATAATCCCAATTGAGAAAATCAGAAACCATGGATGAAAGTTCCGAAACTCAACAATGATTCCGAACAGAACCTTGAGTACCCACATTGTTTTTTTAGCCAATTCAACCGAATCTGTAACCGAAAGAAAGAAAGCAGAGAACCCAGTTGAGGAAAAGCCTTATAAACATGCTATAATTTGTGTTATATTATGATGATAAACATGCTATAATTTGTCTGAATCAAAATTCCATTTGAAATCAATGCAACAAACAAAATTAATACATAATTCAAAAGGTGGTGTACCTGATTTTGAAAAGCCCCTTGCATAGAAACTGGATGAGTGCAAGGGAACGGGAGATGTTAGAGCGCAAGGGATCGTGAAATTGGAATGGGAGACTACTACGACAACTGCTTCAAATACAGTTTCTTTCTCTAGTGTTGAACCTCCCAACTCAGATTGTGGAATTCTATGGGGGAGAAAACTGCCCACTACCGCTTAGCAGTTGAGAGGCTTAAGCACATCTACTTGTTTTTCTTTTTTTTTTTCAATTTTCCGTTTTCTTTTCCAATACTTTTTGAATTTAGTTTTTTATTTATTTATTTATATTTTCTTTCTACTGTAACCTTCTTTGTGACATATTGTTACATATATGGTAAAGATAGTTTTTTTTTTTTTTTTTTAATTTGTGTTTTTGAACTGCCCACTACTGCTTAGCAGTTTATAGCTTTTTATGAGGGTTAACTGTTAAGCACGTCCATTTATAGATTTTTTTTATTTTATTTGTTTTCTATTCAGTAATGGTTGTTTACGAATTTGTCCTCATTTTCGAAACTTTTGTGGTTTTTTATTGTGAAGGAAACAAAGGGCAATATTGGGTTTATCAAATGCTTCACCAAAGTGGGGCTCTCCCTTTATATATATAGATTATCAATTTTTATGTTATTTAATTCATAAAATTTAATCTTCACAATACTAGAAATAAATATAAAAGAGACGGGACGTGTAAGGTGGTGAGGAAAGAAAGGACTTCACCCCATATCCACAGCCGTCCAGAATCTCCAGATCTAGCTGGGAACAAACAATCTCGTGTTGTTTGTTTTTGTTATGGTGAAGTCTTTCTGTCTTTTTTTATTTCTTTTTTATTTATTTAATTTTTGGGTAAACGATGTCTTTCTTTTATACTTGTGTCCTATTTTGGTTTGGAGATTCTTTTTTTTTTTAAGCGAATATAACATGATGGTGTGTTATAATATGAATTAATTATAAAGTGGTTACAAATAAATTTCAAATTACGTTCCATACAAACTGAGAAGAATGATAGCTATTTTCTCTTTGAACCTTTTTATTGTTTTTGAGAGCTTACAATGTTATTTGATGGTCGAAATCATTTATTTTGTAGACTACTCTATAAATATGAACTTTGCAAAAAATAAACAAAGAGTAAATTGTAGCAATGGTTCCTTAACTTTAACTCAATTAGAGCAATGATCCTTCAACTAAAAATTCATTACCATTGATCCCTCAACTCATCAAAATGTGCAGCCATGGTCCCTCAACTTTAACCCAATTGTAGCAATGGTCCTTTCAATATAACTCGTTTTGACAAAATTCTAATAAAGTTGACGAAAATGATCATAGCTACACGTTTTGATGAATTAAGGAATCCTAATTGTAGCAATGATCATTCCAACATAACTCAATTTGACAAAATTTTGACAAAGTTGATGAAAATGACCATAGCTACACATTTTGATAAGTTGAGAGACCAATGGTAATGGATTTTTAGTTGAGAGATCATTGCTCCAATTTAATTAAAGTTGTGAGGGTGTGGGTTTAAACTTCATCAGTGATTAATCTAATTTCTAATCTAACAAAAGATATTGTTTGACAAAAAACACAAAAATAAAAAGATTAAGTTATGTTTGACTATAAAAATGAAGTAGTTTAATTGTCTAAAAAGAGCAGACGTGATATATGGACACGGAACACCATGTCGGTAACAAAGTCGTACAATCGTGGCAAGTACTACTGCATCTCCTCCAATATAATGTGAAAATTGCACTTTTGCTGCTGTTTTCACCGGCTTCCGTGCCATATGCAGTGGAAATTCAACTGCACCGGTTGTGTTTTAAGCTAAAATAAAAAACTACTATTGTTGGGGTACAATATTCCAAGGCCGAATTAAGATAATCACAAAATTGAGAAATGATTTAATTCGACAAACATTTGAGGCTTATATGGGAATGAAGATGTTATTATGGGTGATATGGTAAAACTACCTGAATGCATGGTGATATCATGGGAGAGTGAGCATTCCATTAATCAATTAATTGCCAAAATCTTCTCTGACTTAGAGAATCATATAAATGATGCAACCTACATGGTGAAAAGAGCAGTGGTAACTCCTACAAATGAAGACGTTGATATGTTGAATGAAAAGATAATCAATATGTTTCCGGGTTTAGAAGAGACAATGTATTCATTTGATTCAGTTGAGGATGACGCAAGGAATTTGTATCAGCCAGAGTTCTTGAATTCAATCTCACTTGGTGGTTTGCCTCCGCACAAGTTAACTCTGAAAAGAGGTCCTCCAATCATGCTTTTAAGAAATATTGATCCGAAATTGGGATTGTGTAATGGTACAAGATTATTGTGTCGTGGTTCTTACCGAAATCTTATTGATGCTGAAATTCTAACTGGACAATTTGCCGGATCCAGAGTTTTCTTACCAAGAATCCCTCTCAAAAGTACTGATACTGCTGGGCTTCCATTTGCACTTACAAGAAAGCAATTTCCAGTGAAACTAAGTTTCTCTATCACTATAAACAAATCTCAAGGTCAGACAATACCACATGTAGGCGTTTACCTTCCAGATCATGTCTTCAGCCATGGACAATTATATGTGGCTTTATCGAGGGGGGTCTCAAAGTCAACCACAACCGTGTTAGTAAAAAGTGGCTCCATAGTAGGCCAACAAGGTGTATTTACACGGAATGTAGTATACAAAGAAGTCTTGCTTCATTCCAGCTAATTATGGTGATTCTTAATAGGTAACAGCTTTATTAACGATAACCTTTCAGTATGCATTTCTCACTTATCAATTAACTTTTTTTATTTGATTTTTAATTTTCTCACTATCGTTTGTAGATTGGCAATGAAAATTTGAAGCATCAATCATGAACAAATGGGTGGAAATTGCAGCATTGAAGTCAATATGTAAACTTTTTTTTCAAAAGAAACAGTGACATATACACTCTATGAGTATTGTGAATAATGTACATATTGTTATGTAGGATTTATATTTTGACATTTAAATTGTTTTGTATTTTGCTACGAGTACTTACTGCTTTCATCTACTATTTTTTATTTATTTACATACACTTGCTATCGTTCATAGGCTTTAGGTAGGAACTTGCATCTAAAATCGTATGTTGTTTGATAAGTGCATGAATAACATTTAAATCATTACTTTACACAAAGTAAAAACAAAAAACATGATAACTTTTTAGGACGTGCATGATAAAAAAAAAAGTTCCTCTTTGCACAATACATTTAAAGTATATCTTGACAATTACAATGGGAAAAACTAACACAATACACTTTTAGGGGCGCGTAGCGCCCGTGATGCAAAAATGCCTCTCGCACGCACGCAGTACGTGCAGAGAGGCTAGTTGTTGTTGATGTGTGCGCTTCCAATCCGCATCAGTCTACCTCCAGTGTATGATCGTTGTTTGGGTGCTTGTGAAATTTGTGTGATTGCCATTTGGGATGTGTAACAATTGAAAGTGGATTTTGTTGAAATAACTCACATATTTATGAGAAAAGAAGAGTTCAAACATCCCAACTCTGCTCTAACTAATA